AAAAAAAAAAAAAAAAAAAAAAAAAAAAGATCTCCCACCATGGCGCACATATTTCTAACGGCAGAAAACGGACGTATGGGACGTATTTTTGTTTGTTTTTTCCCTTTTTTTGACGTAGGAGACATGTTACTCCTTTGGACATTTAACTTGGACGTTCCTGGCCGCAATTTCGGCGTTTCTAGAACCGAAATCGTCAGGTCCTACAGGCCGGAACCCGGTAAGCCCCGACGATTTTGGTTCAAAAAACGCCAAAATTGCGGCCAGGAATGTCAATGTTGAACGCCCAAAGGGGTGTTATTCGATTTCAACAAACAATAAAAATCCGTTGAGGCACACACTCCCTACCATGATATCGTCCAAGGGCGAGGACCCACTAGCAGAGAGGACTGGATTTGAAGCCTGAATCTGGACGTGTTTGTGGAGAGGTGCGCAAAATCGCCATCGGTCTGCTTTTCTGCATCTCTGCTTAAAACCCATCCACATTCAGGTGCTTAATGCAATCCTCTTTGCTAGTTGGAGCTTGCTCCAGCTGCTACTGGAACACCACGCCCATAGGTTGCTCAGCTTGTACGTAAAAGAAAGAAAGAAAAAAAAAAAAAAAAAAAAAAAAAAATCTAGACAGGAGTTTGTTTCAGAGGGAAAGGGGGGAAACAAAAAAAAAAAGGGTGCGCCATGCCGCCGCCCCCGCCCCTTTGCGCTCCAATGACAAAAATTAGAGAGAAAAACAAGTCAATTAACTTTTCTGGTTTTTTTAATCGTCTCTGTCTTATAACCCCCCCCCCTGTCACAGTCCATGGCAAGAAAACCCTTTCCCCCACCGTCTACCACCTTCTCTCTTCACGGGGAGAAAGAACCTGACCGTAACACCGCCCAAATACGTCCTGCATACCCTACCGGCGAGCCCCTTTCAACTGCACAGTATGTTCATTTGCATCTTCATGAGAGAGTGTGCGATTGTGGTGGCCAGTGTGTCACTCAGAGTGTCGTCCCGCCTCCCGCACAAACCCCCATCGGCGATTCGGGGCATATATATATTCATATAAGAGCTTTTCTAGACGTATGTGACCGGTGTTACGGCCAGGTTCAATCAAAAAGTCCAATATGACGGGTGCCCAATCAGCGCTTGTATTTTGCCGGAACGGATCCCGATCCAGTAGCCTGTGCGTCACCAAGATTGGTCAACTTTTCTATCACTCCAATTGGTCGATCGATCGATCTGTCGATCGACTGATTAATTGATTGATCAACGACTGGTAGGTTGAATTCACCGATCAATCATCAATTTGATTAATATCGAATGATTGATGGAATGATTAATCGACTGATTGATTGATCAATTAATTTATTGATGAATTGATTGAGCGATTAATCAATTGATTGATCTTTCGATATGATTGGTCGATCGCTTGTCATTCTTTCATCGCCTTAACCATCATTCCTCGACTGATTGATCGACCGACCGATTGATTTTGTGGATAGATCGTTCTGCTGAACAGACCCGTTGATGGGTTTCGTTTGTTGACTGATTACTTGCTGAGCGATAGATTGATTACCTTGGTTGATTGGTCGAACGTCGAAATTGACAAACTTCCGTGGTAGACCGACTGATTGATCCGTTACTTGATTGGCTGATTGATTGACGGATCTTTTCGAACATTGATTGCTGAAAGCCCGCCAAGAGAGGACTATCGCTCCGATTGCAATTTCCTCATTGGTCATTACTAGTATTACTCCTTTGGCCATTTAACTTCGACATTCCAGGCCGCAATTTCGGGTTTCTTTAAACACTGTTCGTCAGGGCTTACCGGGCGGGTTTGCGCCAGTAGGACCTGACGATATCGGTTCAGAAACCGCCGAAATTGCCGCCAGGTATCAAGTATTACTATTACTTATGATTGCTCCATCGCTCAGGAGAATCGATTTATGATTGCTCGACCGTTCAGGAGAATCGAGATCTACTCGGACTATTTGTTTTTCATGTCTGTTATCTGTTACGATACTTCTACATGATAGGAAAGCAATTGCCAAACACTCGCGTCTGAACACGACTCCAATAGAACGAGACAATGCACATCATTCACTTTCCATGCACTCAGCTCGCGCACATCCCTCTACCCTGCAGTTCGACCGGTTTGCTCCAGTGCGCGTCAGGAGGCAAACCCTCTTCTCTTTTTGTTTATATACCGATAATGAAATTCTCTGTGCATTGGTGGAACACTTCGCATCCACCTTCTAGTATTATTATAGCCAATTCGGTACATCAATACATCTTTCTATGCTGATACCCATCTTTCTGATGTTTACTAGCCTTTTGTTGTTAGCTCAGCCTCGCGGCTGCCACCTCGCGTTCCACCTCTACTTCCTATTGTCTCCCTTTCCCTCCTTTTTCCCTTAAAATGGCCATTCGTTCCACTCGGAGGGTTGGGCGAGGGGAAGGGGAAGCGGAAAGGAAACAAGGAAACAGCAACTCAGGGGGTGGGGAAAGAAGGGGACAAAAATAAAAGGGGGTGGGCTTCGTTGGCCACGAATAGGCGGACACTGGTAGCATCAAACAGATAACGCGATACATCCTAAGCATGCAAAAATCTCTTTTTTCTCCTTACATCAGCAAAAATCTTGACAGCAAAAGAAGGATCCAGAGAAAGAAGAGGGGTGGAAGGAGAGGGGGAGAGCTCACGGGGGCCTCATGGCCTCGTATCTTAAAGGGGAGGGGGAGGGGGAGGGGAAGAGGAAGGGGAAGGAGGGAGCTCATCATGGCCTTTTTGTTTTTCAAAAGGGGAGGGGGGTGCCGAAGAGGGGAGCTCATCGCTTTTTTGTTTTTCAGGGGGGGGGGGGGGCGCGGAGCCCACGGCCCCTTTTTTCCAAAAGGGGGACCTCGTAGGGTCATAGCACATTTCACTTTCCTATTATTATTTATTGCTAGAATTAGATAATCACGACTTGTAAATTAAAAAAAATTAAAAAAAAATTAAAAAGATAATCATGACTTACCATGGGAGTACTTGCACAGACACACCTGGAACTATTTTTCTTTCAAATACTTCCTACATATTATCGTCTTCCCCCGAATAGAACGGAGGGTTATTGTCGGTGGATCTAGACTGAAAGTTGCCCCAAAGACAGCTATAGTGACCGTACGTTCTTTCGGGGGAGGAGTAAGGCTCCAATACTTGATTCTTTGACGTCGAAGGTGGTAGAAGAGGAGGGGGGGGGGGGGGAGAGAGGGGGGAGGACAAGGAAACTCACTGAGCACTTCCGCCGGAGAGCATCCCCTTTTCCTCTTCACGCGAACAACCTTCGGTCGGGTCGAGACCTGCTCCTCGATTGTGACTCCCGGTGAGGCGGTCATGGAGAGCACCCGCCCCTCCTCTTCCTCCTCTTTTCCCGCCTCTTTCTCCCCACGCCCCCCATTTCCCGCCCCTCGTGGAAGATTCACAGCAACGCCATTACTCAACAACGATTTCTGTGTCTCCTCTGCTTTCTGCATCTCATTGACGTCATCAGCCGATCCTCTATTATTATCGACTAATGATTGGAGAGAGTAGATCTCCGGCAATCGAGGGTCCTCTTCTCCTCGTCCCCCTTCTCCTCCACATACTCCTCCTCCTCCTCTGCTGCTGCTGCTGCGCCGGGTTTCCTCTGCCACCGACCTACCAGATAGACAAACCGGCACCCGATCTTCCGCCATCTCCTCCGCTTTCACGTCCACCATCGCTGTAACTCCTTCCAATCAACTGCAAATACACGTGGAAGAACACAGCGCTTGTTCTGCGATGCCCACGTGTCTGCTGGTTCGTGTTCTGGCTTAGGAAAGAAATGGAAAATAGTCAATTAGCCACAGGGCTCGACCAGTACAAGACAACCCAAAAACGTTGAAAAAGTCAATCAAACTACCGTCTTCCCCCGAACACAACGCACCCTCATTACGACTGCATCCAAACTGAAAGATTGCGCATTGCCGCTACGACTGTGATCGTGGTAGCCTGGCTGCGTGGAGCATTGGGAGTGATGTGTCTTTTTTTTTACTGTTTTTTTCTTTCATGAAATTGTCGGAGCAACGATGAGAGTGATGATGCAGAGGAGACGATAGAATCGCCAGGTGTGATGGCCGAAGAGGATTTGATAAGTGAACCGTTTGGAAAGTGCAGCGGAGCGTGGGGTTCGGTGGGTTGGTTGGGTAGAGGGTAGAGTCCCTGTGCTGAGAGTGAGGTTTGAATCCTTTCGAAAAGAAGTGTTTCCTTTTTTTTTCCTCTTTTTCGTTGGGAATATTTATGGGCTCAATATTTGTGGGTGTGCAAGAATATATGGTGGGTGGGTGGCGGGAAGAGGTCCTGCTCGTCGGTGCCACCACGAAGTACCATCGCTACGCGGAACACATCACGACAACCACCTACTTGCCAAACCCTCCCTCCGTCATCAATAGACTAATCGTTTCGTTATGGATCCACGGACTCGAACGTCGGTAGCCCTTGGTACCGAACGAAACGAACGCCGAAAAAAAACGCCGCTCTGCATCCCCCGTCCGTCTCTACACGTAAATCGGACAGATGCCCCTATGAAATTGTGAGGTTACCTACAGACCCTCCTGCGTTGTGCCCACTGACGCGAACGAAGCCAGACAGAATTTTTCAAATTCAAATGTTCGCATTCGCAGCCAATTCGCAGCCAAAGGCTGGGCTTTAGCTGGTTTTGCTTTTCGTCGCGTAGCGCGGGTTTCCGTTTTGGGATTGTCGACGACCGTCAACAGGGGTTAGGACGTCGACTGGTGCCCTGGAAGGGTGCAAACGACCGGTAGGCCGAGCAGTTGCGCCAAGGCATTGAAGCACTGTTAGACCACGCCCTGCGTGGTGGCGCAGCCTGGGGTGCGGGGGCAGATGCTGTGGATCCGGGAGGAGTTGTGTTCGGCCACAAAAGTAACCTATACAACATTCTTCGGGGGCCCGTGGACGCTGGGTGGTACTAGACCACAAAAGCTGGTGGTGCCAAGGCTTGGATCCCACAGTCTGTGGTGAGGGCTTTTAAGGTCCGAAATCCCGATCCCACAATGATACGGACCCAACGCGTGCGTCATACGAACCGGCTGTTTCTACTGCCAATGTGGGACGTGTAGTGCAGGCCGACACCCGAGCCGTGAATCGGTGGCCTCTTTTTCGGAAGTGCCCAGCCCCATCCCTGCCCCCAGAAAGTCGGCAGGACGGTAGGACGGGTCGGGATTTCAGTAACGGTGTCGAGCGCATCGGTCCTGCACCTCACAAGGCAGCGCGGGACCTTCCCGGCCGCGTCACGCAGGAGTCGGTCTAAAATCCTCGTCGCGAATATACACATGGAGCTTCCGCAAGGCGCTCTGACCGAGTGCGCCAGCCATACCTCTCGCAAGCCCCTACGACAGGATAGGGCCTACGCGAGGCACGACTTATCTCCACCTTACAGGAGTTGTCACCTCCCTTCGGTGGGCGTATCCCCGCCGAGCTACCAGTCCACAATACGAAAGCTAATCAGTTGCAATCGCAGAGGTGGACCAGCTGATGGCGTTTTCTCGTTCGCTGTAACATAGGGGGTACGCGCGGTATTACGCCTCTATCAGACCCGCACGCGAACCGACACCTTGGGGGGGTGAAGTCCCAAGCGTGATTCGACGTCGGTCGACTAGGACGTATCCCACTCACACGCGCACACCACTCTAGTAGATACAAAAATAAAACACACACGCATATGCACACATATACAAAACGACAATGAGCAAACAACGCGATAACACTCCTAGACCCTTCAATAGCCATCCCATAACTTTACGACGTAGAATTCCGATAGGCGTTGCGCGCGAAACTTAGTATAAAAACCGCGCGAGCGTAGGGTCTACTCATACCGACTAGTAATGCAATCATTCGCAAGCAGTCGCAATGATGGCGTACTATGTAGTGTCCATAATCGAGCGGCCCCTTGTGGATCCGAGTACCACTTATGACACTCAAGTGTCAGACTCGAAATGTCGTGAGGGTCTACTCCCTCACGACATTGCACAGCTGAAGGAATAGTCGTGCGACCGCCGCGAGACCTTCGACCTTTAGGCTGAGTGTTTCGGCAGGCAGGGCAAATAGGTTCTGCGCGGGGGAAGATTCCTTCTATGCAGAGTCTAGGGTCTGGGATGTCTTGGACAAGGACCTTGAATCCAGGCCCAGGACTAACGTCCGACTAAGAAATCCCTAAAAAGCATACAACAAAATGGAGGGTTTTTTTCTTTTTTTCTCTATCCCAACCCCAATTTTTACCTTTAAGCATGGCTCATTCAGGCCACGCGAACACCCAACATAAGTACACATATAAATAGGAGAATAAGCACGTGACGATCACTCCTCGCAACCACAGTGAGACTCCTCATAGCCATATGTATGTCTGGGATTGCAGACAGTCAAATTTAAATCCGACTCATAATACATACCTACAATCATATCAAAGAGTCAAAAAAAAATTCATGCACTATACGGGGTCAACTTCAACCAATCTCTATACTCATACCGTTTGCTTTAGCCATGCAAGCCCCAGCCATTGTCCAACCAGCCTTAATTAAATACTCAGTACCTTTGTTAAATGACCATATAATAAAAGTTCGAGTGAAAACCTTAATAAAACAATAAAATTATCAAATCGTCAGGGTCAAAGTCTTTCAGGTTGGGTATTGAGGGTGAATTGGAGTTGAGTCGTAGACCAACGAATCAACAGCCGACTTGTTATCAATGATAACACAACATGATTCTCATAGGATCAAGTTGGATCTAGTTCAAATCCTGAATCGAAACAACCAAGAAGACCTGTAACACAAGACAGGTCATACCCCAGGCTAAAAATATGAGCCCGTGGAGATTAATCTCCACACCACGATCTCACCAAATTTCATTCTACTTACCCAAGCCTGAACCTACCTCTAAGCAAGTGTCCAAAGAAAAGGTGGACCTTTGGCAGGATCTCCCCTATTCAGGGTGAAAATATAATCTAACTCCTTTAAACTAATAAAATTTCGGCACCGCTTCCCGTAGGAGAAGTGTCTTTTCATAATTTATATCAGCCCGAATATAAAAACAGAAATAGTCTTTGACTTTCCAAAGTCCAACTTTTGTCTAACTCCCTGAATTAGCAAAATTTTGGGCACCACTTCCCTTAGAAAATGAGACTTTTTAGTTTTTTACTAAGTCATGTATGAAATTTAGATAAGTTGAACTTTGAAAAGTCAAACTTTGACTAACTCTCTGGATTTGCAGAAATTTCGGCAGCGCTTCCCATAGGCAAAGTAGCTTACTAAAATTTATACAAAGCCAAGTATAACAAAAGATCCAGAAAATGCGAAAATTAACCCAAGTAAAATAAATTTAGCTCAGAAAATGTAGAAAGTGAACGAACTTCTATCGCTCTAGCACGTGGCGAGCCTCTAAAGCAATTACCTGTCAAACTGAAACTCAGACCAAGTAGTCATCTCACTCAGCCACATGCAGGTCAAACCACAAAAGTAAGTACTCTCACCAACCCAAATCACTTTTGGCAAATAATAGTTCGTAGTCTTTCAATGATTTATTCATTTATCCCCAGCTTACATAGGGCTTCTCTTCATTGGGCATATGACTAAGTCATTCGTCTTAGAAACAATGCTTAGTCGCCCTGATATGTTTAAATAGCCAAGTTATATATATATATATTTTTGTGACGATATATATATATATATATATATATATATATATATGAACTTAATCTTAAAAAATGAGCGTAGGACTGAGTCATTCATCTTAGAAACAATGCTCAGCCGACCCAAGTTACCTTCAATTATAGCTCTTAGTTATACTCTCTTGATTTGTGATAAGGCTATAGTCAGACCATTCATCTTAGAAACAATGTCTGGCTAGCCTTGTTCTTATAACATATAGCTATAAAAATATAGTCAGTCATATTCATTTGTTCGCATTATAATCTTGTGGCCTCATACTTAGACCATTCATCTTAGAAACAATGTCCAGTCTTTGGCCTGAACCTCCCCTCAGAATAAAACAACCAAAAGAGTTGAATCATTCGTCTTAGAAACAATGCTCAACCCTTTTTTCTCAGCACAAAAAAAAAACAGAGTACTCTGGGTCAGACTGTTCAGAAACCACCCATCAGACCATTCATCTTAGAAACAATGTCCGATCCTCAAAATTTGCACAGTCAATACCCCAAAGAAACAACAACCAGGTCATTCACCTTAGAAACAATGTCTGATTAAATTAAATAAACACAGCGACCAAGCCATTCATCTTATAAACAATGCTTGACCCTTCAGAAAACAGAACAAAACACAACAGTCAGACCATTCATCTTAGAAACAATGCTGACCCTATAAGACTCATTCAAGCGCAAGCAAAACTGCCTTCCTCCCAGCCTTCCCCCTGATGCAACCCCTTTTCACAATCCGTCTTTCAGACAATTATCAAAAGTTGAAACTGAAAGTTGTACATGCATTATTTTACTTAGTTTGAGTTATGTCCTGAAAGTCAAACTGAAAGTCAAAGTAGGGGTGCATTTAATACACTCAGTCAGATTTATAGAAGGATGTATAGATATGGTTTATAATTGGGTTTATAATGGATAACAATGGTTACTTCTCAATTCCCTGCCTCCAGAACTCCTCCTGAGTCCCGGTAGAGTTCCCGCAATCGGTGGGTTGACTCCCCACAGAGTCTTGATGCGGACCTACGGGTTGCAATCCCGCCCGCCGCCTTCCTCTTAGACCAATAGACTAGACTTAGAGTAAGAAGGGCAAAAGAAGGTAGATTTGAGACTCTCAGATCCAAGGAGGGTGCACTCAGACTCGCGTGAGAGAGCCTTGATATCTGGACGCGCCTCAGGGCCCTGCAATGATGGCCAAACCAG